GGGATAGTGCTTGAGACCACACCCCTCAAATGATGTTTGCAATCTGAGTCTGAATTCACCTCACAGAAATGGACTTGGCACAGACATCTTCCTGAATTTTTGGGACTCTGATTTTTCTGCACTATCCATGAAGTTTGAATGCCTGGCTTGTTGAAGTGGAATTTTCTCCAGAAAAGCTTGCAGTTTGTTTGATTTTATTTTTAGTGGCCCAATAAAAAGTATTACCTGACTCTTATACAGTATTTGTGTAAGCCTGAAGCAAAGCTGTCTTTGCCTTGCATAAAGCAATGCATCCCTATTGAGAGGCTTTAAAATGAACTAGAAGACTTGGGAATGACAAAAAGCCACAGCACATCTTGTTCTAGATATAAGAAGACACAAACACATACAGCCGTGGTAAAAATGAACTACTTGGGAATGACAAAAAGCCACAGCACATCTTGTTCTAGATATAAGAAGACACAAACACATACAGCCGTGGTAAACCAAGCTTAGCTTCTGGTATTCATGGACACTCACTTCAAGGTATCAGGCTATCTTTTAAAGCTCTTCATGTAGACCGGTGGTTGGGGACTTTTGGCTCAGCACAGGTTTTAGACTACAACTCCCATAATTATTTACCATTGGCCATGCTACCTGGGTTATCTGGTTCTGTAAGAGGACAGTAACTGGAAAGGCAAATGTTCTCCACCCTTGCTGTAGGCCCCACGTTTTTCAAAATGGCCCTCCCTGTAAGTGGTGGTGTTTGGGAACTGAAGACAATGGGTATAAAGGTTTTTTTTATTCCTCCTTTAGTTAATATGGTAATAACATATATTATTTCACTCACTCGAAAGCCCGTTAAACTAGGCATGTTGTCCTTGGGAGCCCTCCTGCTAGTTCTGTTGAACATCAGTCTCGGAGCCCAGCCTTGATCGTGCCACTACCCAGAGCCCCTCCATGGCTGACTTCAATGTCTATGCATAGCACCCAGGAACATCACGATGCTCTTAGACATGCACAAGGTTACTGGGTTATGACATCACAGAGCAAAGTAACTCCTGGCCAAGCCAGGCATATGCCATTTCAGCTCTCAAAGAAAATATTCTAGTGAAGCATGGAATGTTCAGTCACAGGAGAAAACGATATATAGAGAGGGGGTAGATGGTTTGACACAGAACATAGCATTTGCTGCCTTATGCTTTGGCCATAGCATTTGCTGCCTTATGATCTACTCTGTGTGCCACAACTGTCACAGCTAAAAGCAGCCCTTACCTCAATTGCTCCATGCCTGTAGAGTTATTTCCCCTGAGGCACACCTTCCCTACGTCTTCTAGAAGGTGTTATAAAGTATTACCTGTTTCATTGTGGGTTTTATTCATCTGGCTAGTTTGGGTTTCCACCCCCACCCCCTTTACTTCCACTTGTTTTACTGTATAATATTTTATCTGTTTTATTAATCATCACCGTAAGCTGCTTTGAACTGTGCAAAGAGGACTACAAACACCTTAAATATTGCAACTCGGTGCCCTACTTTCCAGTTACTATGGTGAAATGTAGTTCATTTCCATTTAAGTGACAATAATTATTTCCAAATGCACATCACCTATATGCATACGTCGGCATATGCAAACTTTTTGCAAATCTGCATATTCTTTTGTCCTTTAAAAACCAAAACCACATAGTTTTTCTATTCTGGCAGTGTGCAAGCGGACATCCAGCACACAGCTGAATGCAAGTTGTGAGGGAGAAGAACACATGAGGTATTTAGCAGGGCCAGAACACTGCATAGTAGCTTCCAGGAAGCCGCAGTCTATCTGAGCACCGTGAATGTAAAATGTAAGCTGCAGTACTTCAAAGCATCCATATTTTAAAGTTGTTCCCATTCTCTCTCTCTCTCTCTCTCTCTCTTGCTCTGTGTATAGGAGAGAGAAGATCGAGAGGGGGGTCCTGATCTTAGAAATGAATAGTTATGGCACTGCCAACGCATACAGCTTACATGAGTACCCCCTTCCAAACAATGCAGTCAAGAGACAGCAGTGTAGTGTTAATTGTGACACCCTGGGAAGATTGCTTTTGAAGTTCTCTGTTGAAAAAAGTAGCACTCTGCAGTGAGCACCACAATAATAATGCAATTTATCATCATTCTCATGGCATAAAATTCCTTCTTGGTGACAAGTATTACTAATGGAAATGGATTGTTTTCTTTCTCTGCAGTTTGTATTCATTACCACACTGACTCAACTTCTCTGTTTTTGGGGGCTTCCTCCCCCCCTCAGAAAAAAGATATGTATATAATTTAATCATACCACTGTGATAATTTTTGCCTGCTGAGAGTTCAGTTTCACCAGCGAGATGGGATGGAGAGCTCAGAATCCTGGATTAAAAAGATCTGGAATGAGAACCCCCAAAAGCAGTTTGTATACTGTGAGCCTTTTCAGGTTGAAATCTAACACGAATTCAATGCATGGACTTCACAAAAATGGCATTTTCTCTTCATACTCTCCAGGAGCAGGATGGCATGAAACACTGGAGGCAGCAACTCAAAATAAAGTAGGAGAAAACAGACAAGGAGAATATCTCTGGGCCCAGCGGGAGAGAGCTGGAGGGGAATTTTTACAAAGATGTCTCTAGGTTGGCTATTACTTCCTGGTGAATAAACCAAATTATAACCGCAAAGTTGTGCTAAAGGCTGCTCTGTTTCTGTGCTGTTTTCCTCATCCCTACAGTTAAAAAGAAACCGGAGTTTCAAAGCAAGCTGTATGGTGCGTGGGGTGGGAGAGACAATCACAGAATAATTGGCAGCCTTTTGGTCCTAGGAGAGGGGTGTAAAAATTGGGATAGATCAGAATGTACATTGTTAAATCATGCCAATGAGGAGAAGGCAACAATGAAAGTTAGTTTTGAGGGTTGGTTGAAAAATATGATTAAATATTTAGGGATAAATATTACATAGAATATACAGGATATTGTTAAATTGAATTTTGATAACATAAGAAAGCAGATTAAAGAGCAGATAAAGGAATTTTGGAAATTAAATATTTCTTCATTTGGAAGATTGTGTTATGTAAAATGAAAATTATTCATTTTTTTAAAATTTTGGATGTTACCTATAAAACCTACGGAAAAGCACTTAAGAGAATGGCAAATAATGATTAATATGTATTGTAATGGAAATAAGAGAGCAAGAATTAATAAAAAGTTATGGTATATCACAAAAAGAAGGAGGGTTAGGTATACCCAATATTAAACTATATTACATGGCATATCAGTTGAGACATGTTCCAGTTATTATAGCAAAGAAGAAAAATGTAATTTGGAGGGATTATGAATTTTACAAAAGAGAGGAAACTATTAGGGATGTGATTAAGAGTATTAATAACTCCTTCTTGAGGAGTATGTTAGAAAGTTGGAAAAGTTACAGAGGAGTATTGAGTCTATTGATTTCTCCTTTGATGCAGGTGGTTGAATTAAAGAACTTCCCGGATCTTAAAAGGAATTTAAAGAAGGTGCTAATTGATAAAGGAATTATTAGAATAAAGGATTGGCTAAAAAAACAAATAGCAGGAAGCAAACAAGAGCTGTAACAGGAGGAGAGGGGATTTCATGATTAAATATATTTAATTTGGACAACTGGACAAAAGAATGGAAAATAAAGAAAGGAGAAGGCATATCACTGACAAAATTTGAAGGGATTATTGAAAAAACAGAGGAAGTGCGAACTATCAAAAACAGAAAGGGGATAGTAAGTGTAATACTGTATAGAGGATGTTAATACTGACAGAATATAAAACAATAGATTTAAAAGAAATTTGGCATGGAGAGTTGACTGAGGAAACCAAAGCAGAAGATTGGAATAAAATTTGGAATAAAATAATTATTAAAAATACATTCATAAGGGTAAAAGCAAATTGTTATAAAGTTATATGGAGATTATATCTAACACTGGTGAAACTGAATATGTTAAATAACAATGTATTGCCCTTGTACTGGAGATGTGGAAAAGAAAAGGGCACCTATTTACATATGTGGTGGACTTGTGAAACAAGAAAGAAGGAACTGTCAATGGTACTTAAGGAGATTACAGAAAGAATTGACATTGATGTACAAATGTTTCCAATGATTGCTTTGTTGAATATGGTTAATAATAGTCAATTAAAGAAAGAGGAAAATGAACTAATTATTATTATGGTTACTGTGGCAAGGCTGATATTTTCAAAGAATTGGAAAAATAACCGATTTTAATATAGAGGAATGATCTAAAGAAATGTGGAATATGGCTATTAATGATAAATTTAACTTTTAAAACTAAAATTAGAAAAGGAATATTGAAATGTAATATTTGACGGATATAGGGAATTTATTTTTGATATCTGTGTTTCAGAAACACACAGGGAATACACCCGGAGAAGAATCAATGTATTTTTGGAGATAAATGGGGCGGTATGAAATATGATTAAAAATATAAATGTTAACTAGTCCTGAGTGTCAAGGATTACACAGGGGTCATGGATGTGGTTTTGTTTAGTTTTAAATTGATTTGTTAGTGTGTTTATTTCCAAACTATTAAAAAAATAGTTTGGAAATTAATAAAAATTATATTTAAGAAAATTCCAAACCTTACTGCAGAGTGGCTTGAGAGCCCAACCTCAAGGAACTTACATCAACTCTCACAGAGACATGTACCACCAGTTTTTGGACTCTTGTGTATACGTTTTTCTGCCCTATCCACAAAGAGGGTACGCTAAGCCTGAAAGATTGGGATTTTCTCCACGAAAGCTTGCAATTTATTTGATTTTTATTGGTCTAATAACAGGTATCACCCACTCTTACCTTCTTGATCACTCCCTCTTGCAGGTGTCAGGGAACTTTTTTACCTTTTACCCCCTAAAAAATTTATATACGCCGACATTACCCCCTTGATTTAAAAGGAGGGATCTCAGTCATACGCGTCACGGTCACACTCAGCCAGTCGAGCGCCAGTGCTGAAGCCTCGCTGCCCGTGCCTGGGCTGCCTCTGCAGCCGCCTGACAGTCCTTGGCCCCGCAGGGGTGGCTCCCTTTCTCCCCTGACAGGTGGCTCCTGTGCAGCCATCGAAGAGCAGCAGGTGGCTCGCCTGCCGAGGGCCGCCTCCTGCTCCAGCCCCGGCGGCTGCTCGGTGGGGCGGCCACTTCGGGCCTTGGTATCAGGGCTCCAGTGGGCCTCGCCATCGAAGCACTGTGACAGCTGGCTCATGGAGGGCAAGAGGCTCTACCAGGCCCGGCCGGCCAGCACGGAGGCACCGCTGAAGGAATCTGCATGGCCAGCCTAGTGCTGCTGCCTCCCAACGAGCTGCTCTGGGAAAAGGGACAGGGTGTGGGCCATCGGTGTCGTCCCAGCGCCTGCCCCCTCCGCCGCAATCCACCTCTCCTGGTAGTGGAAGGAGAGGCCCCTCCTGGCTGGGGCGCTCCAGCCACTCTCCCCGGCCTTGCCCTCCGCTATGGCCAGCTCCGCCCGTCGCCTCGTCTGCCATATGCCACTGGCTGGAGCCCGTGTCTGGCCACTATCTGCCGTGGCTCGGTTGCAGCTGGGCCGGAGACGGGGGGGGTAGGAAGGGGGCAATCAGGCAGCTGGGGATCTCACTCTGGGCAGAGGATGAGGAGGAGGAGGGAAGGGGGTTAGGGTCGTGTCCTCATTACCCCCAGGATTTTCATTTTTATCCCATTTAGGGTAATTGATCCCTTTTCCCTGACCACTGCCCTATTGGCTCTTTCAGGTCATTCCCTCTCTCCCCTCAGGTAACCCGTGGCTCTCCCCCATCCCCTTTGCATTTTATAGAGATACAGATTTTTCCCACACTTCTTTCACCACTTTCCCTTTTGGGTTGGGTGACAAATCTTGTCTCGTACTCCATCCAAGCCAGAGGGAGCCGGCTTGGTTTTTACTTGCCTGCCAGCCAGATTAGGATGGTTCAG